ATATGTATATGGCGGCCGCCAGACTTGATTCCAGTGAAAAAAAAAAATTATGTTCCTATTAAGGTTATCGATACCACCGTGTATTAATTACTAACCACTAAAATTTCGGATACTGCAAATAGGCCAGTTGTTTTGAAAATGCTTTATGGTAAGACTATCTGAGCTGTCAAGGACGCAGCTGCTACTAAAGATGCAGATATTGTCGTAAAATAGCTCGCGCAAGGCATTGATCATGAATTAGAACTGTGCCCATGCAGCAGCATTGGGCTTCTGAAACCCTGACCTATCAATACCCATTTTGTGAAGGACCTAATTAACAGGTCTATTAGCTTACATTAAAGCAGCCATTTCGGACTTCCTTGACCCTTCAGAGCTTGTTATGGACATCCGTTTGGCGTCATGAGATGGTGTCCTAATAGCCTTTACTGGTTTTTACCCTATGCTGCCCTTGGGAATCGTAATTCATATAGAGAGCTCTTGATTGACACACTTGTTGTCCTAAATAGGTGTGTGTTGACGCGCTTGATTGCTTTTTGGCGCTTCTTTATGGGGGGGGGGGGGGGCCTGGCCTGCAGGCTTCGACTTTGTTATCGAATGTGTCATGTTCATTTCCCGCCACTTAAGGCCATGATGCTAAGCCTATTGAAAATAAACTATACGTTCACCTCTACAAAGCGAATCGCCATATCTTTTGCAATTGTATCTATTTCTTTTTAGCTTTGCTACGCTCACTCCAAAGGTATTTCTTCCAGTTTAACGCATATTATAGAAGCAGTAGAAATGCTCAGCCACATATAACTAATGTATATATATATGTACACTTTCAACAAATCATTGTTGCGGTACTACACGAGGCCTTCAACGGCTTGCGAGGCAATCTGTAATGAAACCGCATAGTTTTGTCTGTCATCCGCCGCTCTTATACGTACAAGTGTGTATTATTATGAGATCACAAAGATACACGACGAAGGCTTTTTAGGCCATTACTGTTAATGCTAAACATAACCGTTCCTGCGACCAGTAATGCTATTCTACTTCTGCTATTTGTACAGGCAATCAGCCCTATCCAATGATGTTTTATATATATATATATATATATAGATGCTTCTTTCCTTTGTCAGTGATCACCTGTCGGTAAAAATACAGGTGAAAGTGAAAGGTAGACCACGTTAAAGCTGATGATGACGAAAAAATAACCTAGACAGCTCGTTGAGCTCTCGCACAAAAAAGCCAACGCAGGTTTCCCACAAACTTCAGCTTCATCGGAATTCTTTTATTTTCTAGGAAAGTGAAAACCATTTAGTTTTAGAACAAAACAACAAATTAAGCTGAAGTACGTGTTCACAGATGCTCAGATGTGAATATCTATGGGTGGGTAAAATCATCGCTTGGGTAATAACAACGGTACCCTTCTTGGGGGATTTGTCAATATACTGTTATTCCTAGCTATAGATGATAAGCTATAGAAATATTCACCTTCACGTAAATCTTGTATTCATTGACTCCGATCCCTATGCAACTGAATAAACTGAATCCTTTCAAGAAGTCGTTACGTAACGACATTTGTTCGCTTAGTTTTTTGTCTGAAGCTCGACCGACTTGCTCGATTGACCGGACCCGTAAACGTACAATGTGTTTTTGTGTATGTGCCTGTAGAAGATTCAAATAAGACTATATTAAACTGAATTGGCTACATGTCCATTGACACCCGTTCTTTTTTACTCTCAAGTACTTCCCTCGGGGCGGCGAATGCTGATTCTTTTGCATATGGTACATGCAAATGTTGTCCTGTACAAATACTAAGGTACTTCTCCTTCTCAACAACATATGTATACACCGACTCAATGGGCTAGTGGACGTCGTACTGTAAACAACAATCAAAATTACGGTGGCGACTTTGGCTGTGGGGACAACAAGTGTTTTAGGTATGGAAGATTTATCAGGTGCAAACACACTTGTAGACTCCGTTGTGGAAAGGTTCTAAAGAAGCGACTAAACCTTCACGCTCTCTGAAACACCGGCTCAGATTAGCTGCCGTGCGACAAGTGACTTCTACGGAAGCCTCGATATTCTGTGAACTGCGTGCAATTCTAACCCCCCTACATCACGCGACTAACGTACGGGCGAAAAAAAAAAAAGAGGCCAAATCGTGATACTATTGTACTGAGCTGTGGTGGCAGTCTTTTGGTCGCTCGATGCCAAGATACGGAAAAGGCCTTTTGAGCGTTTGCGTGTTGCTTCCTGGAGTCTCATAAGGAGATTTTTACATTTTTAACGGCCAGAGATAAAAAAAGCGTGTGTTAGAGAAAGAGAGGTTGGGTGCGTAGTGCAACGGGAAAGAACTCCATAGATTATCACTCTCAGATCCGATCTATATGGACCGGCCTCAGTAACGAATTAATCATCTGTCCCATATCCGCATTACAGTTAATAGAGTGTACAGTTGTACCGGCTGTTGTCTGTTGACGGAACGCTACGACAAATGTTTAATCCACAATTTATAACTTACCATATATGAATACATAACGGATGTAAAAATTCGTAATGTTACGTTGAACGTCGTTGAATAAACGAGTGATCGAAGCGGATCCTTCGTTGCACGAACGCCACTCTATCCCAATATTTGTCACGCATATCAGATGCTCCGGCGTAATTGGAGTTAAGAGCTGCGAACTAAATGGTTATTTTACTACTGTTCTGTTTACAGGTAAAATCCCAGGCAAGTACCAATTTTCCCGAGAACCAGCAGACGGTGATTGTTCGGTGACGATCTCGACTGCGCGATTAGAGGAGGACGATGGTCTTTGGCAGTGCCAAGTCACAATGGCTTCCCTCGAGGATCTTGGACTTGAGTCACGAGAAGCGCAGCTAACGATACGAGGTATGGCAGTTACCTCAAGTTACCGTAATGCAATCGGACATGAATTCGATGGACAAAGCTTTCCTTATAGAACTGAGAGAACATAGCTTGTGCATTCTTCTGCTAAATCCTAATGCGGCTTTCGTGAATCCGCGATATCAGTGTAAAAATAATTTCAGTCAATAGATCTAACTAGTTAAGTTTAGTCAAATAACACGAAAACAACGAGTATTTTTTCGAGTCAAAGCCTTTAAATAGCGCCTCGGCCTCCATGTAGGACCAAGTTACATAATGTTCGTCTTTAGATGCATGTTAGATATTGGGCCATGGCTAGCTATAGTTTCTGATACTACCAAAAACATTGGGTTCGTACCGCCAGGTTGCACATATACCAGTGAAAAAAACGTATAAACGATTCTACTCTGTCCTACAATATTCTATTGACAATCTGGCTGTCTACGAAAATCGATGTGTGTAGAGGTTAACGAAATATAACCCGTCGAAAGATCTAAACATGACATGTTATATTTAAGGACATCAATTTAGGGACAGTCATTCGTGTGCTGTCAACAACATGTCCTACCATAGAGTATTTTAATTGCTCCGGGTGAAAGGGATAGTTGTCGTTAAACCGTTAGCGTTAAGGTCGTGATGTACCTGCTCCGCAGATCCGTCTATCCGTGCTACTACCAGTTGCTTTGTCGAATATGGTTTGCATCCACTTTTGACGATGGCCCAATTAAGAAGTGCTTCGCTTCCGGCGGAAACGCACCCTGTTCGATTTTGTTAGAAATTTAATTGTAGACCGTTATAATGACAAGGGAAAACCCACGTAAAAAGAGGGATCCTAAAAACTGTCCAACGGCCCGAATTTGAGCTAGCTATTGGTAATAAAGTCGCGTCGGCCACGGCCAGTTTGCGGTCGTAACAATACGAGTAGCCGCAATAATTGCGGTGAGCATAGCCACCAGTGAGGATATCATCTGGGCAGACTCAGGGGACCACTGAGTGCTAGTATCTCGAGGCCTTTTAGCCGACTCTAGTTAGAAGCGAGGCAAATAGCCGATGAAGAGGATAGTAGAGACAATTCTACCACAAGTGTGAGAGCCCTGCAAAAGTCGTTGGCTGAGGGTTTTCGGAATAAGAGATTGCCTTGAACGTGGTACCCAACTCATTCTGTTTCGCCAGCCGAAGTCTCAACCCAGGTGGGCTTTCGGTCGCAGTGCAGTTGCCATCGTGAAGCTTTGCTACAGGCGTTCTACTGGTTCCATAGTGCCGGCTGACAGCTGCGGCACAGGAATGTCAGGTTTCAGGGAGATTGTGGAAAACTGAGGTAAACGTTCTAGCTACAAAGCTTTCGCGGCCATTAGTTTGTTGCCTAAATCCTTGGGGAGTTTTCTCGTTACCGTTTCGTTTGGGAAAAAGAACGCTGGGGGAACGGGGGAGCGAGGCGTGGTGTAAGCTAAGAAGGAAACGAACCTAAGGGTTCCTGACGCGCTGGCCACGCCCGGTGGGGCTAAACTCGTGACATTGAGCTAGTTCGTCGTCCTGTTGCAAAAGTCTTCAACTTGCAACATCATCTTATCAGTAGAAAAATGGGAAAACTTGTGCGGACTGCCAAGGTTACTCTAAAATAATAGGCGCCAATTGCACTGTTATACTATAACTGGGGTCTAGAATTTGCCCTAGCTAGGGGCTTGGATATGTTGCTTTCCTGATCATCCATTAACTTAGCTTACATATATATAGCTAGCTAGAAGGATAAATTCTATGTTGCTGTGCTAGGGATGAGCAAAGCGAAGAGCAATTACTCTAAAAGCAATGCGGGGCATCTTCTCTTAGTCTAAATTGCTCGATAATTTTTGCTGCAAATCAGATTGGTGAGAACTTTTATGCTAGAGTATATCGTATAGCATCATCGAAACGGTGTTCGCCTTGTAGATTCTAAGAGTTAAGTAGTAAACGATTTTTCAATGATATGTTCAACTAGAGTTTTCGTTTTGTACGACTACCTACTTGGATGTTTTACCAGTTCTTTTCACTTCAACTTAACACTCACAAAAACTATCAAAAGTACTGCTGTTACTATCTGGCTTAGCCAGTTTTCAAATACGAACTCAAATTGTTTGTTTGTGCTTCCTTCAGAGCAAAACTAGCCTAGTCCGTAAGGATCCAACATTGACTCGTAGCTGAGGTTAGCAATACAAGTGGAAGGCTACCGGTTTGACTAAATGGCACGGGTACAGGAGGTGCGATTTGCTAATACACAGATATACGGAAACAGCGACGATTGTATTTGTGTCATTTTTTCTGTTCATGCTCTAGATGGTCGCTCTATGTTTCTAGATGTTTCGTTGCGGAATGAAGCCTCTTAGCCTTGGGGCAATACCCGCTGACCAGGTGATCAGGTAACCATCAGTGCCTTCTTCCATTTTATAACAGACTCAGACCTCTTTGTCAGCCGTGGTCACATTAATCCTTCGCAGTTCTTCCTAGGTTTGCCTTGAAGGTGGATGACAAAAGCGCTGGTATATTGATTTCGTTTAGCTAGTATTTCAGCGTTGCAGTGCAGGCGGGCTACAGCAGACAGAGCCTCTAGGAATAAGCAGTGACAGAAAGAAGAGACACTGCATAGATTCGGTTCGTTTCGAAATAACCAGCTCCAGCTTAATACTGTATAGGGGTAGGTCCGTATCCCACTTGCTCGTCCATGCCTTCGTTGGCCTACTTTGCTACCAGCTGATGTGTGAAAGCGTGGTAGGTCACCACGGCGCTGCGAGATTACTCTAACAGCAGCGAAAAGGTGGCGATAGCCGTGTAGCTGTCACCGATGACACGACGACTAAGTGTTGCAGCTGGTCGATAGTGGAGGCTTGTGCTATCCTACTGCCACCGGAGCCGGCTGCTGCTTCCTCTGCCCCGTTTTTTTGCTACCGCCAGCTAAACCGTTGGCCGACGCTTTCCCGGTTTTCCTTTATTTGTCCTGCATACTAAAAAGAGACAGGAATGGGACTGCTTCAGTTACATATGGATTTCTGGCAAGCGATGGACATTGGATGAGGATGTGATTTTGCAGACGAAATCGCGAGGTCCCGAACACAGCCAAGCAAGCACACCGGCCGCAGCATATCGGCCAGCCAACGTGCTATTTTTTTCGCCCTATAGGACGCCACGGGAGGAAGTACCGCCAATAAGGCAAGCATCACATGCCTCTTCCTTTTGTCACCATCCTTCGATCTCACCACTCCATTGCATGGTGATGAACAATGCGTTTGTACATTCACAGACGTGCCTAGATATCCTATCTGCCCTGCTTGATACGAGTAAATATAACTAGAAGTGATCGACTGTTAATGATTAGCGGAAAAAATCGCAGAGCGGTGGACCTTTGTGGGTAATAAATTGATGATATTTCTAATCTAATTAAACTAATTTATTCAACACAGTCTGTCAGAACAGCTTTGCAGAACAATAAAATACGACTCAGTAAGAATAGACAGGGTCGCTATATGATTTGGTTGTCCTGTTAAACAGAAACGGCTACTACGTGTCTTTGAATGAACGTCATACGTAATTTGGCTCCTCTTTAATAAGCGTAAATGTCATGCGTTAAATAAGCTTGATAACGACTAGAGCATACTCAATTGCTAAGATGGGGCAGAGAAAAGCTTTTATAACCCAATATAATATGTTTACATTACATCTGTGCATGACTTTAATGAGCAGGGACGTGATCATAGACCAAAATCCTAATAGGCAACTGACATTGACCTGGTTTTTTTTAATTAAGACGACGCCTCCAGACGCGAATGTCATGTCCTGTATGCATTTTAGTGAAAAAATAGATTCAACGTTACAAGATAATTGTACAGGCTGGTCTACTTGGCCTATATCATAATTTGTAGTTTCATAGTAATACGAAGTAGGAATTTGTAAATACATGTGTTGTCCATGGCCTGAATCAACCGGTTCATAGAACTTCACGTACCATTATTAGTTTCGAGGATCCAACGATCCTAGTTTTCTAATTCTAACTGATTCCTGTGTGTCCAGTTTAGCGCAGGCCATAACCTTGTACAATTTCGAAATAATTAGATCAGCCTTATAACCCCTATGGACAATTTACTCACCTCTGATTTAAATAAAATCGAAAATCTAACTAATTAAACGATCCGATCACATTAGGTAAAACGCATTGGCATTAGACCTACTCATAAACGTTCCAGGGGCAAACTAAAAAGGGGCGGCATGTCTAATCACTGAAAAGAAAAGTCCTACGAAAATTTACTAGCAGTAATTTTTCTCAAATTTTTCTATGCCTGATGTGCACGAAAGCTTTGTAAATTTTATACACAATCCTATCAGTAAGCATATTCTAATAAGTAAGGCTCAGAAAAATAGAAGCGAGTTACACAGTTACAGTAGCTTTATACCTAAACTTGTTGTAAATATTTTCTGACTTTTTAATAATTTTATCATCTGTGGGTTCATTAGATAAATAGCAATAAAATTCTGCCAAAGGGGCTAATCTACAGCCACTTGTCTGGTGGATACGGTTCAAACCTAGTAGAATTGTGTTTAATTGTATACGATCAGATTTTTTTTTTTTTTTTTTTAACATATTCGACGCCGGAAGCCATCCTACACTAATAGATCAGTTGGTGATTTTCTAACATTGACAGACGCTAAGTTTGTCGGATATGACTCTATCTAGAAAACAGACCTTTAAAATGGTTTTAGTAGATGCTATGCGTGCCCGTCGGGTGTCTGTGCAAGCAAGCCCTTGCCCCAGATCTGAATATTATTTTTTGTTTTTATCCTAAACTCAACATACATGACTCGCTCGTCTACTAGGCGCATATTAAACGTTGACGGTTTTAGTTATATGATTCTGGAAAACTATTTCATATCTAACAAATGATCGTACGTCACGATTGTGCGAGCCTAAAGACATTGACTTCTTCGATACATAAAGGCGGCGCCTCGTGCCTAAAATGCGATCATCGACGTCACCTTAATGGACCCGTCGTTTTCGTGATGGTGTCAATTGTCACACTTGGCGTCATCGAAAATTCCCGTATTGGAGGATAACCTTTACACCACATAAACGATTGGGTACGGTACTTTGTCTTGCCACAGTTTACGTTTATCATTTGGTAGCTCTAGATTTGATGTCAACATTCAAGCTTAGCTTTACTAAAACTACATGTTGCCATAATATAAAATCTGCCGCCCCTTCTAGCGTGTATAATCCACATATATTTTACGCGTGGCACGAACATAAAACCTCGGTAAGTTCCAACCCTCTGCTGCAATGTTTACGTGCGAAATAAATACGTTTCCGGCATAAATTTAGTCTGGCTTTGTAGGTAAGTACAGTGATTGCGCCTCGTTGGCTCTTTGCAAGCAGAAAAGTCGCAGCTTGACCGGACCAGGTAACCCCGACGTTCCTTTTGGGCTGGTCTGTAATAATCATTGTTAGAGTTTGCTAGAGAGGACTCTGAAGACGACGATAATATAGAGTGAGACGTATTCAACTGTTATACATTGTTGTGACTATAGGCACCCTACCTGTCACCGTGTATGGCATCCAGTGGTAAACCATTTGACTATATGACATCTTATTAGAACGATCTTTGCTACCTGTCACCCGATGGCACAATTTCAACAGCACCCCGTGAGCTTGCCATCCGAAGTTTCACAATAATAGAACGTCGCTGGGACGATCGATTGAGCCGTGTCTCATATGGTCTGCTGTGGCATGGCACTCTGAGAAATCACGTGATCTGATAGTAAACAGCATCAAATCATCCATAAAAAGAGATCCATCTAACCTTAAAAACTATCTTATGATTGCAATATATAGTATGTATCGTAGTGTAGTATAAATTAATTATCTCTCAAAGTGATCTTCAATGTCTGAGCTTTATCTATATATGGTGAATAGTAGTACTTCCAGCGGTATCTAAGTGAGTAGTAGGTGTATCAGTTTGAAACTTCAGCTCCTATGCTAGAGTTATGATTATTTGAGACGTGATGTATCATTTGTAGATTCTATCAACAATAAGAGGTTTATCTTATTTTGCAGAGCCTCCTCAACCGCCTCGATTAGAAGAACATGATACTCAAGTGGCCGGCGGTGAACGGCTGGCCGCTCGCGCAGGGGAGCCGAAGAAAGTTCGTTGCGTTTCCCGAATGGGCAATCCTCCCGCGTTCATTAGGTAATCACTGAACATCTTTTTCTCCTTGTATAGTATAAGGTTGTGAAAAATAGACCCCTTTTTTCCCTTATAATAAATAAATATAATAATATAAATAATAAATATAATAAATAAAAACCCTTTTTTCCCTACAGTTCAATATCGCATCGAATGAAATGACTGATATCATAAGCTTATCATCGCCTTCAATAATCCAATACGCAAACGTGGCCCCCTACACGCAAATTTGGTTTTGTAAAAGCGTTTTGCGATGAGTTCGGCCATCTGTAAAAGGTTCCTATTTTCTATTTGGAAGTCCGCGCGTATTTTTCTTCAGATAGTTGACTCGTATCCGGAATGAGCCAACTGATCTCATAACCGTTTTCGGCAGTCCCTTTGTGCGCGATGTGAATCATGGAATATTTACGGGACACTTGGAAAGAATTTATTATACAACGCTAAGAGAGTTATATAAATCCTAAAGAGCGTATGCAGCCTGCTATGGTCGAGGTTGATTGTACAGAATATGGTAGTTTAAACAATTAGAAAACTAGAAATGCGTAGTTTTTTTACTATGTGACTACAATTTGTCTAAATATCGTTTGAAAATAATATTAAGGAACCAAAATGAAGGAAAATAAATTTCAGGCAATACCTTTATAAGTCCTGTATGTAAAACCCTGCATAAACGTACGCGAAAAGTGTTCTGGGTTTCCAACTTAAAATCAAATTACTTTGCTTGCAGCATAATTATTGTCGATAGAGATTTTATTAACATAGATCATAACATTCTGTGACGTCCTAGGCTAGTTTACGATATTTTTATATAATATCTTCGCTGGCTAACTTTAGACTTGTTGCAAGCAAAAACCGCTTAAAAGTACCCATATTTTAACATGACTAAGACTATCACTTGTGCGGCCGAGCGGAATACGCCCACTGGTAATAATGGTTTATTACCTTGTTTCAACTTAGCCGGTAGCAACGTCGGAGCAGCTGGCTTCGTCTTGATCACTACGTTTTTCAGTATTTTTCGGTCATAAGGGCCATCGAGCACACGTTCGTAGCTGATCATCGGCGATATATTTATTCGTTATTAGATTTTATTTGTACGTCCTTGCTTCGGCCAACTCCGTTGTTATGACTGAGCCGGTTGAGATCCGGTGTTGATCCGTAGGACGAAGTGGCCCGGTTTTGTCTAATATACACTGTCAACGAAATGCTGTTTTTTTTTTCCGTTGATTACTTCATAGCAGCGCGGTACGCAGTTGGATTGATGGCGGGCATTTTTATAATTGAATTTGGACAGTCATTTAGTACTCTAGCATATTATACATAGTAGGCTAAGATACGTAGTGATGATAGCGAGAAACGACAATGAGAAGGTGGGCGTCGCCTTTTGGTCGATGATTCTCAGAAGGCACGCATATTACTTTTCGCAAATTCATATATCGACGGCATATTGGTCTCTATCAGTGTCATCGCATGAATTATTAAGTTTTTACAGTCATTTTTTTTTATGTAGACACCCCTCAGCCTAACGCCTCTGAACGTTATGAAACTTCGTTCTAATCTGCATAGTCGCATTTTTAACATACACACCCATTTCAATAAGGATCAAAACTAAATAAGGCTGTTTCTTATGTCACGCATATTTCATATCGGTAGCGATTGTAGCGCTACTACAATCGTAAACAAGATCTCCATCTTGGTGAACATGGCAAGGCGGTAGCCTAGCATCTAGATGGCGGCCAAATTCCAATTCTTCGAAAAATTGGACAATGGTCGTCCGCATTGAACCTCATTGAATTGCTGAATCAATGTTGTCAGGCCTTTATGGCCCGGAAGGGACAAGGGTGTTGCGGAGATAGGCTGGTGGAGGAAAAAAGGATTTGGCCATTTCTATTGTTTAACAGCGAAAAATAGAGGGACAGAATGTGAACGAGAGACCTTCCGCAGGAGGAGAAAATCCTGCGGGAAGAAAAAGAGGGAACCGAGTAGTTTTGTCTGAATTCGCTGTCATCACACCGAGGCTGACCCACCGACTGGGATAGGTAGGATTCGTCGAAGAGGCCAACGGACAAAACCAGGACCAGTACCAGCGCCGTCACCACTACTACGACCGCCTTCCGTCTGGATATGGCTGAGCGACCCAATGACAGCAGTGTTCTACTTCGTTCCAGCTAACAACACCTTTTCATGTACTCCCACTCTGTACTCAGTTGTCGAGTTGCAAGCGAGATTCTCTTTCTGTAAGCGGCGGCGACGACACCGGTGGCAGCAATAGCCACAACATCAGCAGCCGCAGTAGCAACCTCTTCTACCGCCTCCTACGTCAGACCCAAACCTGGTCAAGTGGGCATAGATTGGCTTTAGGAGAGACAGAAAAAAGTGCTTCCGGACATCTGTCAGTGGAGTGGGGGAACAGGGGGCTGTGCGAAGCAGGAATGCTACTGGTTATCCAGCCCGTTGACTGTCCCGTTCATAAGCCACAAGCCTTGTTTGGCCTGGGCATGAGCCAAGGCACAGAGATGAGAAGCAGTCGAAGTCTGTCTCACTACTACTGACCCATCGGCGCCATATATCGGAGGCGGTGGGCAGCCAGAGAGACAAGCCGCTCTGAAACAAGTTTTTGCTGAGCAGTACCTACTTGCCGCGTAGAGGCGGAGTGGCGGATGAAAAACTAATTTTCACGGTTCTACTATTGGTTAGGCTGGACTGTTCGTTTCATTCGTAAATCATTGAATGGAAATGGTTGTGGTAGAACGAAAGCCGTATGATGACTTGATAGAGGCTTTTCGGGATGCAGGTAGGTGGGTGGCTAAATTGTAACGAATTTTAGCGCGAAAAATTAAATAACTGCTGACCACCACAGGAGTCAAAAGAAGACAGGAGAAAAAGGTGGGCGTAGGCTCTGTATAGTTGTACACTCACAGAAGTTTTCACCTACCGAGGAGGATAATGTCAATGGACACGTTTCAATGAATGTTTGTTTGCACTGAAAGGCGGAGAAGTCTTTGGCTCCCCCCAAAAAGAGCAGGACCCGATCGGCTTCTGTCGGCAATAGACGCAATTTGACAAGAGTGAAGGCACCGCAACTGATGTTAGGGTCGGAGTAAAGGCGGCATGGCAAATCCACTATACGGCGTGCCGAAGCACCCATGAGACCGGCCACGTATCAGCCTAAGAAAGCCGAAGTTCTGTGATGCCTATTACACTTCTCCTCTGATCTTTTACAGGGGCGTTTGGATTAGAGTTTGGGAAACGTTAAAGCAATGGGAATCATGATCATCATCTCCGATCATCGTACGCTCTAGATGTCAGCCGCGTGTGATTGAGAAAAGGAAATCAGCACTGGATGATCGCTGCTCCAGCAAGCGATCAGGTCTAAAAGTGCGGAGCAACCGCTGTGTGGGTTAGGGGGTGTTACAGAAGCAGAAAGCTAATAAAGGTCGAACTTGAGAATTGCTGAAGCTGCTTCTACAGAAGAAGCAGACCCCAGTCGGCAAATCTGTGACGAAGTAAAGGAAAATGCAATTTGATTTTTGTGGCCACCGGCTAATTGCGCCGGGGGCCGCCTACTACACGCGGAAAACTGCCAGATAGAGATGACGTTGGTGAACGTCATCACGTGTCAAAAGAAAGTTGAGAGTTGCTGCCTTGCCCCATAATTTACACCGTAAAAATAAATCAGAATAATTTACTAGGTGCAGAGATGCTTTACGATACTTTGTCACACAGCAAATATATATATACATCGAGAAAAGAGACTCTGACAACATATGTGGCGTCTACCGTAAATGACTAATAAGCAGCGCACCTACTTTTATAATTGATTGGTCAAACATTATCATTTACAGACCTGTTTAATCTGAACGAAGTTCTCGCTGCGGGTCTGGGGCATTGGCTCACAGTAAAAATTCCCTTCATTTCTTTGGAGGAATACAAAAAAGGAGGGGTTATGGTTATCATTTCTAGCGTCTTAAGATGAACGGGTGTAGATATCTACTTCGGTATAACAATATTAGTGGGATGATTATGTTGATTAAATTTCTCATTTCAGAGCTATATTTTGTTCTTAGTTGTGCTGTTGCCCCAGTTGGACTTGATTGATTTAGGAGTGATGTGGTGAGATCGTGAATACGCGGTCTGTACATGTTTGAGAAGCTGATGAATGGGAGCCACATGGGTCCAATCCATCGGGTTCACGTCTGCCTTTTCTCGCCCGCTGCTTTTCTCTTGGTGAAAAAAGAAGGCGAACTGTGGCAAAATGTTAGTTGAAAACGCACCCACACCACTGTCCGTGCCATGGTTTCCCAGTGGGTCTCTTTAGGCGGGATGCCTTTACAGGACACCAAAACGCCTTTGCTGTTAGATCTTATACCCTATCCTAGATCATCTTCTATCTTCACTCGCTTGTGTATGTATTCAGAGATTCGACAGATCTCGGATCGTACGTTAGGCATGTAAGTCAGCTAGCGTCGTTTAATAACGAAAAAGTCCGACCCTCCCGACCTATTCCCGCTACCTTCCACTGATCCTTTTCACCCTTTACATCACTACTGAGACTCCAGTAGACAAAATTCTTGTACAGACACACACAAATCTACATACGAGCACAAAACCTGCTTTTATTCTATGCCACTCTGTGCGTCTGCCTGCTTGACTGAATTTAGGCCTGTACCTGCCTGAGCATATTACACAAGCTCAGCCCTCGGTCTCCTCTCCGTAACCGGCCATTTAACCTCTCCATAACCGCTCATCTCGACAGACACGCATATTATCTGTAAACATGCTCAACTATTACCGTTCGAGACTGCGTGTATAGACCCCCCATAGTCTACGAAGGGTTTCCTTCATCCGGCGGTATTAATCTCCCCGCCCGATTCGAGCGTAGACAGGTAAACGTGCAAGTTTAATACTATAGCGATACTGTTACATCAGCAAAGAGCCATCGAGACAAGTGGGGTAAAAATAGTCGCCGCTGAGTGAACGAACGGTCGCCAATTGTTCCTGTGAAATTTTTATATGAAAAATATAGAAGAAAGAGATCCTCAAAAAATGTGTATATACGTACATATCTTCATCGGTCACGATTGATTATTGATTAGCTGTTTAATGATACTTCCAGCGTTCCAGAAATTTACCATGGTGCAACTGCATCTCAAATAATTAATCCAATTATAAGGTAGACAATAATATCTTCTGTTAACGGCAGAATATCTGTACCTAAATAAACAATTTGTTTTACTATAAGCGTAAGTTGAGTAACTAAAAAGGTTCATCTAACCAAACGTAACGTTTTATATGCAAGTTGATCTACCTGATGACACGATTAGTATATTTGGCATTGTTTTTTGTGTGTGTGTGTGTGTGTGTGTGTGTAGGCGAAGTTGTGTATTGCCGAGTACACTCTATTGTCCTGGATGATAATTTGTTTCCTGTTCATTGCAGATGGTTCCTTGGCAACGAGGAAATTACTCACAGTTCGGCGCAGACGAACGCGTCCGATGTAGCTAAGCCACGAACTTTTACTGCCAGCTCATTGCTTCATTACACGTTTGAAAAGGTACCACCTTCCGAGTAGATAACGTTATCCTTATCCATTTGTTTTAAATTATATATGTATAATAGATAACGCATGTATTTTTTGAAGAAGTGCTCTATGCACATGGTCGCTTTTCCTGCCACGGTCAAAGACCATATCAACGAGGCGGTGTGAGAATATCGACGGATCATTTATTCTCGAAGACGGACTTCTTTTTTGTCTGTCATAAATGGCAATAGCATATTGGATAAGCTTAACACTGGGATCAAGTCACAACTTGCACTTACTTACCGTTATGTTTTACACACTGTGCCGCTAAGGCCATGTTCTCAACTTTTCTCTCGCTTTCTATATAAAGCGGGTTACTCTCGATCGAATATTATTCCCAGAATTTCTCACTGTCAGACACGCTGTTTTAGCACGTCGATTTCTGAAGGCCTACTTTTATAAGCACCCCATTTCGCAGAAAAATTTACAGTGGGGTTGGGTCACAGGAGCAGGTCTTGGATTACAGTGCAGGTCAGTGTGCGTTCCTTTTTCTTCAGCATTTCATTGTTCCGAATACCTGAAAGTAGGTACGTTTTACAGGTATCTTTTTTGTCCAAGTCTAATTCATCGTATTTTGACGGCAATGTTCTGTAGCTAGCAGTTGAATTGAAAAATTGCGATGACACCTCCTGTTTGGAACCGGTACCGTATGGTTATTTTGGCTTCATGAAGTACTTGCTCGTAAATGGCGTGGCGTTCCTTGTTTGTACATAGGTGGTAATTTTGTTTATTTACTAATCCAGCCGGGTCAGAGCTGCGGCTCAATAAGAAGAGGATTTTCTATGCACAACTAGAATTGCGTTCTGGTTCCAGTGATCTGTAAGCTTTTGTACCTGAATCAACTAAATACTGCGAGACCGAACAGCAACGCTGTCGCGAAATACGCCAGGCCCAAATATAGATCCAGCCATTTTAGGCCTTTGCTCGAGGCTATAGAAAAAAGTCCTAAAAGACGCAACATGCCTACTGTGCATTATGACATGTGCATCGTTAACACTGACTCTTAAGTAAACCTTCCAATTTAAGCGAAGTTGTTTGTCGGTTTTTTTTTCGATTGTACTGAGACCGTATCAGCAACCTGGTTGCAGGGCAGACATTCGAATCGGGTTGACACATCGACGATAGCTGACCTTATATCCGAAGTTACAATTGTCAGTGCAACAAATCTAGTTACTGGGAAATCTAACAGACTTCCGCCAAACATTTTTGCGTATGATAGCCGTTTGTAGTTATGAAACATGAATAGTTAAAAGTTAACTATACTTCCAAGTATGATTGTGGCCAGGCTGTTTTATAGCGTATTTAGTATACTAGTTGAATGATATCTAAATATATATATAGTTGATCGTATCATGAATAAATACTTAGATTAAGTTATGAACATAAACCAGCTGGCTAAGTGTAAAAAATCTTATTGCCTGCTACAAAGAGTTTATTAGTTACATTATTTTTTACGTCGTCGTTAGTGAGATTGAAAAGAAGTGGCCTACCAAAACAATTAACAGTTATACCCCAGTTCCTGCTGACGAGTTTCATAAACTTCGCCTGTTACGCCGATATTACCTCTATTACGAACTCGCTTAATTTGCGAAGTACACAGGGAGTTTTTTTTGGGGGAACATTGCTGCTTCCAAAAATCCGATCGCCAAACCTGGTGGTCATTCGGTTACTATGGAGATGTTGGCGCAGCGGCTCCAATAACCGCGAAATTTGCGTAAGGTAACATGAATATCACCTCGATAGATATACCCCCCCCCCCCCTTCTAGACGACCACCAAATGCACTATTTGTCTTTTGTTAGAGAATAACAGACGCCCGTGCACGGCAGCATCTAACATGATTGCCCATTACCCTGACAGGGGGGTAATAAGCACACAAAAAGTCTAAAGTAAACTTAACTGTAGTAGCTCGAGCAAACTTATCGAGAGAGTTAGAAAATCCAGTATTCTGAGTTAGCAGTATTCTTCATTAGATTATGTATTATAAACGTCTACGGGTAATATGCATCAACCGAGGTTTTCTTTGGAACGAATATCGGGCTGGAACTTCATCAATGCGTTAAGACAATCGTGAATTGAATATGGTATACTCTCGTCGTATATCTACTGCCATGTATTGATTTCGATCTATTAAAAAGTAATAAATAAGTAACAAAAAGACCTGATTGAAAGATCGAAAATATCTATTTGCGAGGAAAAAGCAGTGTTTGGCATATTTCCAGCAAAATTATTATATCTCTAAAATTTGCTAAAAATATGTACACACATATTGCGACCTCAATATTTATCTTGAGCGATACTAGATGTCCTTACGAGTTCCCTACAAGTAGAGAAAAAAAAAAAAAAAAAGCCAAAAATTGCCGCATTTGTAAGAAAAGTACTTTTATTTTGCTTCCCATCTATTTATAATAGCACAATTGAATAGCAACTTAGTGTGGCCGTATACAACTTTGTGTCTATGTGTGTCTACGATGTTTGTATGAGTACGGTGTACAGTAACGTATGAGTTTGGGAACGATTTCAATTGGACTCGAGCGGTTGATGGTTCATCAATCAAGCGGAAAACGTAGACCTGCTATATACTATAAGCCCCAAATGGAGGAGCATCTGCGGGCCAGGACCATCGTTTCCGCTCCTGCTACTACCGTGCCACTCCTAAGGTCGACTGCAAGGTACAAGAGGCCTGGCTTTCCCGCCGTTACGACCACCTACCAAGTCGAGTAGCCGGCTTCGCCTGCAAAGGGTGAACGCCACTAGCCAACGTAAATATGTAGGCATTGTTGTCATTAAAAATCTCCGGAACTGTAATTTGTAGTGATCAAGAAATCATTGTTTATTCTTCCTTTGAAACAATTTCAGGCATGACAACTTACATTTTTACATAGACACTGAAGGCAGTGCTCTGCTTTTCGGAAACCAACCGCCCAACATGATGTTGAATCATGACTATCAAGGACGGAATTAGGTCTGGACTATTTTTTTTTTTTATATATATATATTTATATATCGGCTGCTTGTCGTACTAAAAGAGTATTAGCGGAGACACATACGCAATTAATTCAATTAAGATAGAGAGTAAACGGTTTAGCTTTTTCAGTTTATGCTGTCTAGGTTCCTGCTCGTCTGACGGACAATTTCACGTTAAAATACCACATCAATATTTCAATTGTATACAAATACTGTGAATCGTTTGGGTACTACGTCAAGAGTCTTTACGAAAGCAGCTCATTGATGCCTCTTCGTTACATAGGCGATGATATCACACAGCATCTTTTCAAGGCTACGTGTAACGGTCGTTATCAACGAAAAGTACGAAAAACTTAGAGCATTTAGTGCCATACTATGCTACATATATAGAAGCGGTATCGAAAAGACAGTCGGTATTCAGTTAAGAACTTGTTTACCTTTCGATCCAAGTTCGAGATCTCATATCAGGCCTATTTTGAAAACTTTCAACATCAACTGCAGCCGTAATGTTGAGGCGGATATTTGTATAAGTATCGAGGATTACTAAAGGAGAATTGCTACGTTTCAATATACTGATTTCTGACTACCCAGGTTGCGCGTTTATTGTTTGTTGCAGAAACCAAAGTTAAACAAAGGCTACCTTATATTTTACGATTGCAAAGTATGAGTTTATTGCGGTCAAGGCCATAGAGGTGTTTATGGCCGTATACAAAGCTTCGCAATAACCTTTGGCTAACGACCTTACAACCAAAAAGCGAGCTCTATGACCTTCTCGAGGTTCTCCCAAATGAATACAGAGTTTGGATCTGATGGGAGCCTTGACTGAGTCATAAAATCGGATGGCCATAACAAAGAGGTAGTCATTTAGCTACTTTGATATCGCAACGAATGTGACGCCTCAACGGTTGCCTATGAGGACCTAACAAATTTAGCTTCCAGTAGCTAGAATATAGGAAATGAAAGTAAAAATTAACTGTAGTGATGGTTTGGCACTCGTTAAATATTATATATA